TTGGATTACAGTGCCCGAAAGCCACAGCCGAAGCGCCAGATGATTGATTTTAAGCCTCCACACCAGCCCCTCTTTCTCTATCTCTCTCGTGTCAATCATTCTTGCCCATGCCGGCCAAAGCTTCTTGCGGCCCTTGTTACTTGACACTGCCGATGCCAAGAGTCCTCTCAAGCCTCGATCCATCTTTTTATCTTCCGTGTGTCGCCTCGCCGCACTGACGCCTCCTTGCGAAATTTCACCCGGAAACTCGAGTTGTTGGGAGACAAGTCTGTCGCGAGCGGCCGCTTCTCTCTGGCCACTCAGGTCAGGCAAAGCTGAGGGTACCATTGCATCTAAGAGTACGCACCAGATACCACGGAGAGGCTCAGTTGCCCTGCTTTATGCCCCGCTGTTCCTCTGCTTCTGCTACCTGGTGTTGCCGCCTTCGGTGCCGTCGCCACCATCTACACTTGAAGAATTGTCGTCACTGATGTCAGTCAAAACCGCCCTCAAGTGAGCAAAGTCTTGGAAACTGGGGGCTTTAGAAACCTCGGCAGGAATGCTGATGTGGCCGAGTCAAGTAGGTCTTTGGATACATCTTCGACCTTGCCGTCACCACCGTGCTCGCCGATGTTTTGTTTACTATCGCCCTCGTTCGCAAGGAGGAATTGCGTGATGAGATACCACTCAAAGACTTCTTCTCACGACGCTCTTTCTCATACTGGCATTGAGCGCATCCTAAAGTTGGAGAGGCTTCTGGTCCAGAGGTTCTCGGCGACGCAGGCCAGAGGGACTGCCCGGAAGGCCAGCAATGGCCAAAAGCTCCACGTGTTAAGAAGCTTGCCAGATGATGCGGAACATGGGAAGTTGATTGCTCAAGACCGCCAGAGTCGGCGTCTCCCCTCGAAGCCGCAGCCTGGCGAGTATGCTGCTCGAAGAGTGTGGTTCTGAGACGGGTACGGAGGAGATTTTCGATTGGACTCGGACTTCGTTGTCCGTCGTTCTGGTGTTTGGACCTCCCCCCTCCTTCCTGCCTTCATCGGGAGAGGCGAAGCCGTGAAAGTCTTGCTCGCGAGGAACGAATGTGCGTCCAGTCAAACTTTATTCAACGTACGAGTCAAGAATGTTGTTGCAATTTGATCCTTTTTCGCGAACACATTTTCGCTGCTGTTCGAGTGATCCTTGGTTTTTAACAACTCGGATGATCCAGGTTACAATCTGATGTCGAACTCTGGCACTCGAAGATCTTCCCGCAGCTACATCCTGAAGTCTCCCCCTCACCCTTCGGCACCTCGAATATGCGAGCTTGAGGTGCTCTACTTAGCCTGCTGTCCGGGCCGCTTTCCCTGCCGAGCTTGTCCCAGCGGCCGATCTACGTTCCATGACACACCGTCACCCATCTCCCCCGTGTGCCGATCCCATCAACTTCTCGGGGGTTCATAACCATATTGAAGGCCAAGGTTCTGGCCTCGCGGGTCTGGATACTCAGCCAGCATGATGAGCGCATAAAGGATAAGGCCAGGTACCCAACCGTGCCTCTCAGCACCGCTGATCAACGACCCTGACCGGAGTGATTCCTACTACACTCTGCTTCGCTTAGTCCTAGCAAACGACAGCACTCGGGCACATTCTCGACCATACGAGGGTATGGCATCGTGTTTCTTGCACGCCTCGTGCCGGTACATCAGCCCGCTGCGTATCATCTGTGGATGTCGATGAGGATGCAATAGCATATTCCCCACGGCGCGAAGGCCATTCAAGAAACGGTTCATGCAAGGCGCAAAGCCGCATGTCTCGCCTCGCATTTTGTCCCACCTACAGAGGCGAACTCAAGCCTCCAGCTATGCACTAGTCAAGAAACCCAACGGTGCAGGTTTATGAGCTCTCTTCCCTCACCCTTGTGGGATTTCCTTCATTGTCATTATCTCTTATGTCAAACTGTCATCCCTGATGAGTCTTACTCAAAGCCCGCATGCGAATCATCTGTGGACATTCCCTGCTATCTTTAAACCGAGTCTTCCTCGCACCTCAGACATTGTTTCCGTCTCCATTCACACTTCATGCCAAAGACCACCTTTTCCAAGGATAACAGAACGGAATCGTCTCCCTTGGAGCTTTGGATAGATGTGCATGCTTAATACAACTTTCTCGTTGCGATATTTGGGGAAGTTCATGGGATTCCAGTGATATTTCAGCAAATGCTATTACCACTACTCGTTCATGTTGACTCGTTCCTGCTTTCTGTTCTTCTAGAATGCCTCTCTGATGGCACTGCATCTTGTGCCAACGACAATTCTCGTGCGAGAGGCTTTGAGGCATTCCCCCAAGAGCCCACGACGCACAGTCAGCTCTCCATTCTCGGCCATGGAAACGTGATGCTTGCACCCAACCCCGCGCTTTTTTGGGTTTCAAATCACTGGCATCAGCGTTCGTCGGTATTCCAACCGCAATTTTTCAAGAAGCTATGCCATGGCTCTTTTTACCACTTGCAACTGAGTCGATCTCCAGCGATTACCTGACATCGCTGGCATCAGTCTAATTGACGCCTATATTACACCAACAGCTTCTAACTCCTTCGAGCCCCTCGGAGACCACTCCTCCATCCGAGCGAGCACTCCAGCAAACCTTTGAATCCCATCCAAATCCCAGTCTCTTGCTATCATCAGAGCAAGACCTTATCACTATCCATCCTGGTCCCTGTATGGTCTGCTCGGCGTTGAGTTGGCCCCGGGTGTGCTCGCGGTCGCGGCGGCGAGAGCTGTCAGGGCCATCATCACGGCCCTGGAAGCGCGCAGATGCTCACCGGCATGCTCCTCAGTACAGACACATTGCTGTCGCTTTAGGTAGTGGATGAATGGCTATCAGGCATGCGACTCGGTAATAGAGGCAACTCGTCCCGCCATGAGAGATGCTCAATCTCAGGTATGTTATGACCCTGGTCAGCGTAGCCTTGAAGGATAATGCGCGCGTTGAGCTTTGCGGCCTTCATGGCCAATCGGCGGCTTGTTGGCGCACGGCGGGCAGGCTAAGCGTAGCCATCTTGATGGCCGAGTCTATCCACCCTCTGTCCATTGCAGTTAAGGCCGGAGTCGTCTGCTCGGAGTGGCTGGCAGTAGGGGGGAGGGCCGCGGTCACACTGGCATTAGCTGCCTGTTGGAATCCTCTATTGGGATATAAGGCCAAGGTATCCAGATCGAGATGAAGTGAGGGAGGTGGGCCCAACGTCGAGCTTGTGGTAGTTGGCTCGAGGGGTAGGCGCAGGACAGGAGGGGGGCCCAGAGTGGTGTGGTTTGCGTTGGAGCTGCGGTTGGACTGACATGCAGTATAGGTGGGGGGCCGATAGATGTATCATCATTGTCGTCTGCGCATCGGCTGGCTTCAGGCTCGTCTCCTTCATCTTCGTCCTCATCACTTGCCGACGGCCAGTAGACCAAGGTGAAGGTCTCTCCGTCCCTCAAGGCTATATTGAAGTCAGTTATCCTGCACAGATAATAGTGTGTAATTACTGAGAAATACCTTTGGCGGCTGCGATTACATCCTTGGCCTGGAGCTCAGTCTGTGCCACATGGGCCTGCTTGCGAGATCGGATGGTAAATTGGGCGTAAATAGCCGAGATGATCGTTCTGGGGGAGAAAGTCGCCTTTGAAGACGAATTACAGAGACTAGATATCGTTGCAAGAGAGTTGCTGCTGCTGCAAATGGTCGGGCCCAGCCAAAAGACGAGCTGTCCATGCGTCATGTCCATTGAGTTGGCGGCGGTCTTGAAGCGGGAGGTATGCTGGGGCTTGGTTGAGATCATAACATCGGCAACTACACCGTTGTACAATGTAGATATGATGCTTTCGACATGGCTCTGGGACAGAACGCTTGCGACAAAGGATGGAAAACATAAGGGTGGCATGTCTTCGTCCTACTCTTCAGCTTGCTGGTCAGGTCCGTGTTTAGAGAGCGCAAGCCATCGTTGGTGTAATTGAGCAAACACAGTGGTGACTTGGTCGAGCTGCTTCTTCTCGGTTGAGGGCGTGACCATGAGAAACTCAAGGGTTGCTAGAGCTTGCTCAATGAGGGGGTCCTTGGACAATGTCTCGATAGTGATGCCGGACATCTTGATCTGGGTCTGGAGAGGCGGGGAACGAAGAAAATGGTGTGATGGGATCCTGATCGGTAAAGAAAGTCACAACGAACAGCGAGCAGCAGAAAAAGGGCCGAAAAGCTCAAGACTCGGGCTGGAGATGAGATGAGAGGGACCGTGAGTCTGCAGAGATTCCAATTGAGATTACATGGACAGCAGACGGCAGCGACAATTGAGGGATGCATGCCCCGATATCCTTCCTCCGTTCCGTTTCCTTCCTTCATCTGGCTCAACACGATATGACATTGGGCCTCTTTCCCATCGTGACAGCCTCACAAAGCCTTTCCTACTGGATTGAGAAAACGTACCTGAGGTACATTGTCTAGCGTGTTTCGATGGTGGGCCTCCTGATAAACCCCGTGCCTATCACATCCATCGAGGCGACTTTCCAGATGTGTTGCTGAGCAAGAACGCCCTGCCATTGCTTCAGAAAGAGAACAACCCCATGGAATCCCCCTCAACATTCAAACCCACCTGACCTCACGGGTCAATTCCTTCTTTCCTTTCATTCTCTGTGAAGCTGGTTACGGGCTGGTGGATTGCATGATAGGTTCCTTCCATCCATTGACCACACAAAAGTGATTAACATCTCTCCCACCTTCCCCGCCAGACACTACACAGGCGCTACCTTCCCCTACCTTTCCGCGTCCTTCCACCAGCATCTGCTGTCACCTGTGGCTTCATTTGCATACCATCTTTCCTTCTCCCAACCCGCTTGGCATCGCCAATCTTCCCTCCTACACCACGCTCTCCGTCTCGGTCTGCCACCATATCATCCGTTCGTCAACCCACCCACCCACGTTTGTCGTCGTACGCAATCCAAAAGACAGCATCCGTTGCACCTCTGTGCCATTATTTACTACGTCCCATCTGCAAACCGGCCTTCGCAATGCCTGGAGACTTGGAGACTCGGCAGGGTATGTCCGACTCCTCCGCTGCCTTGCCCGCAGACCTTTACTGACTTTTGTCGCAGCAGGAAGCCGCCTCGCATCCCCCGACCGCGCCTCTAGCGCCCGATCTACAATCCTATCCCTCATCGCAATTGCTCGAATGGTCGTTCAGCTCGATGAGCGAAGCAAGGCCGACCCCGCCGCTGGCCACTCCCAAATGGATTGCGCCAAGGCAGCCTTCGCCACAAACGCCAGGCTTCTTCTCGCTCTGACCGAGGGCCTCGAGAACCAAAACGCCCAAGCAACGCCCGACAGCCCCGTTACACGTCCGTACGAGACCCCTTGCAAGAACGATACTCGCTAGCCCGCGATTGAGCAAAAGCTGGACTTCAGGCGCCAACGCACAAGCTTGAGTGGACCGTAGGACAGTAGAGACTTGGCGTCTTTGGCACGTCTTATGGATTTGGCTTCTTCTCTGTCTGCAAAACTCCACCACCCTCGCGAAAGCATGAAAAAACCTTAGAAGGGAAAGAAAGACAACTCCATCACTTTTGGGACCTTTCGATTTATTGCTGGCAAGTTTAATGCTTTTGGGAAGATGTGACTCGACACTTTGATCGAAAAGAGGCATCTATCTGGGCAACTTCGAATCGGGCAGCGCAAACTTTTCCAAGGGACGGTTCATGTTGAGGAAGTTTCATAGCCCACTCAGTACGAGTGGAAACACAAGACAGTCAATACAGGAACTTGCAAGATACAAAATGTCTTCTGCACCGATGCTGCTTTCTCTTGGAAGCTGACCAGTCCGAGAGAGTTGTACCGGCCAAGCCAAACACTTTCAGACCATCACTAAGCATCTCCGTTGTCCTCACAAGCTGTCAATGCTAATCAGTTCAATAGAAATGTGTCGAGGCGCTCTGGTTGCCTCCGCACGAACAGGGCAGCCACCACGCACTTGAAAACCTCGCGCGTATCGTCCCTCGTCTCCTCCCCAATTGCCTGCAAGCGAGGCTGGCAGATGTCGGCCTGCAGTCTCCCTCGGTCCATTCATTGTCGGTCAATGCTGAATTGTGTTTCACACCAAGCCGCCCTGTTTCTTAGCGAGCGGGCTGTGCAAACCGGTCATTGTCTTCCTCCAGCGACAAACTACTCGAACAGGAAACGCAGGTTGACGATGGCGGGTCGATGCCAGTGTCAGCGGTACGTTGCATGCAGGTCATGAAGGGGGAGACGGATTCCAATCTTTTCTATTGAATGCATCGTCTCCAGGATATGACGACCCATGCCAAACCCTCCTCCCTCCCCATCCAAAGGCATCAAAGTCCCAGACACCGGGCTCCGAGATACACCGGCTCTCGTCTCAATTCAAAGGCCCATTACGTCGAGTCTGTGTTTGCGGACAGCAACATGCCTCGAGAGGGTGCACACGAGTCAACATCAACGACAACGAGTCTCAACCCAAAGGCCACGAAACGGTTCCAATCATGCTCCCGCCTCACTGACGCTGGCCCTCTTTATAAACGCCGCTTGACGTTGAAAGTATCTCGGCGATGTGGGACGGTGGGCACTGGGAGCGAAAATTTGCTTTTGGGGTGAATCTTCCATGGTGTATGTTACGCTCTTGTTCTGCTCAAGATTATCAACGGCCTTCTATTCGGATTATTACCGTCCGGCCGCTCCTCCCAACCGGTTCAGAGGGTTTGCACCTTGGAGACATCGATCCGGCACGCTATCCCGCTTTCTTCCCAGAAGATGTTGCTCTGGGATGATTGATCCATTGATTGTCAATTGACCTTTGAACTGCAACTCCCTGGGCTCACGAAACAATGCTGACGGGAGATTTGAAATACAGACTAGTTCTCCTGCTCCTATACCGCGCTGTCCATGCCGAAATTGACCCATGCCTCGCAATCCTTACTCTACCAAATCTTTCTGAACGCAATAAACTACACCCATTCATCCTCGAAAGCATTAAGCCTCCCTCCCGATACCTTCTTCCACCGCCCCAACTAACACAAGTTCCCAAACTGCCTGGCCATCAGTCCATCCATGCTATAGGGCAGACACTGTTCAGCTCCTGCTCGCTCGAAGCAGCCTTGGCATTGAAGCTGAACCTCGAGGGCCGCGGAGGCCGAAGCACAGGCAGAACGTTATCAACGTAGTCAACGCGAGTCCGTCCATCAAGCAACGCATCCGCCACGGCGTGCGCAAGTCCAACATCGTCCGCCCGGTCGGGATCGACAGACGTACTGCTCACGCCGAGGTCAGTCATGCGCGCGAGCCAGACCTGCAGAATCTTTTCACGGCACAGGTCGTGAGCCGCGCGACCGGTCGAGCCGGCGGGTGATCCCGGATGACACTCTGGCGCGATCGGGTGCATGCCCAGAAACTCAAACATTTCTGGGCCGGGTCTGGCACTGGGGCTATTGTGACTGGCGTACCTATCCGACGCCATCAGCCGTCGAACGAGGCGGTAGACTGCCTGGCGGGATGGTTGTGGTTCGTCATGGGCTGGTTCCAGAGGCATGCCCTGGGTAATGGATGACGCCGCCGGAGTGTAATACGCCGGGATATAATAGGAGAGGAAGGAGCAGATTCCGAATGCTATTAACACGAAGCAGGAGGCGATGCAGATGTTATGCTCCTTTTGCGGGCGGTTCGAGGTGTCGCTTTCTCGTGGGGGATGATTCGGGGCCACGCCTCGCGTGTTGCTGGGTCGCGCAATAGAGCGCACCAGAGGCGAACGCGTTGAAATTTTGACCGGCATTCTCAAATACAAGCATGCGTTCGGGCCGGATTGTAGGAGGTTGCGTTGAACCGAAGAGTATGTATCTGGTGGGAGAAACAAGTTCTTCTTATGGACCATGCAGCCAACGACCAGCTCTTTTATTCAGATACGCCGAGCCGCCGTGTTCCAACATCAGACCGGTTCGGGGGCCATGATCATTTTGTGGCAGAGTATGAAGAGTGACATGTCAGACTCCTCGGCACGGATGACACTAACCAAAAAAAAATGCACAGATGGTTCTATCAGGGCCGAATGTGCGTCCACAATTTCGACGAGTCACATCATGTTTGCTGCTTTTGGCAAGCTCTTTGGCGAAAGGGGGAGCGTTCACTGGACCGGTATCAGCCTCATATTCTTTCATTGAAAGACAAAACCGGCCCCGACAATTTGAACCAGCCATGGCAAGTGTGCCTGTGGCCTTGCACCAAGCAAGACCACAAAGCTGTGAAACCGAGAAAGGTCCAGTAACCCAAGCTTGAAGCCGACCAGGCTCAAGCCAACCGGCCATATATACAGTGTCCAGAGGGTTCTGCACCTCCTTGCGGTGGTCCGATCTTGATGCAACTATAGAAAGCAAGACCCTCCACCTGGTCATGAGTCAATTCATCCTTCACGCACCCCGACATCTCCAGCTCACAGCCTTAGCTCAACTAAGACATATCTTCTACCAACAACCCGCAACCTCCGTTCGATAAGACACATTCGCTACCATGGAATTCAATCAGTCGTCGGCCCGCGAAAGGCGACGCGAAGAAAGACGCAGACAAAGAGCGTACGACAGAGAACTCGAAGAAAGACTGCTGCAGGAGAACGCGGCGGCGGAGGCCACGATGTCTCTTGTGTTCGAGAGCGGAACCAACATCCAACACCAACCGGAGGGCGTTCAAATCGACAGCGGGGAGGCTATGGCAGTTGCACCGCGCCGAAACGTTGATTTCGGTTCCTCGCAGAACAAGGTTGTACGATGGGCGCAGGATGACGAGGTGATTGAGATCCCTCGCCTGACGTATGGCGATGACTCCGATGCCGCGGTTTCCCGAGAATTCACCACGCGAGAGAACACGGTTACCGCCACCGCCGCTTCCATGGACGAGAACGCACTGTCAGAGCATCACGCAGCCCCTCGGCCGGGAAACAACCTCAGCTACGTTGACGGCCTGTTCATCAACGCCGGCGCCCACGTCGAGTCGCTGACATGGACCAAGACCGAGACGAACAACCACAATCACTACTACGCGCATGCGCAGGCACAGCAGCAGCAGCACCAGCAGGAGGAGCGGCAGCAACCCACAATCGAGGCTGCTCCCAAGCAAGACGGTGCTGGCTACTAGCCCTTCCCTAGTGGGAAACACTGCAGCCCTTAGCCAGGAGATAACTCAGATCCTTAACTGGGGCACTGATAACAAGGTTAAGTTTGACCCAGCTAAATGTGAAGCAATCCACTTCAGCAGGAAGCATA